CTGTTGAACTATACGCGGAAGGAAGTCAATAAAATCGCGAAGGGTTCAGACCGATATGTTTTAGACTCAAGAGATGTCCTTTATCGTTTGGCTGCGCCTACCCCGGAATGTCCTAGGGACAAGCGTTCTGAACTTCGACTAGTTGTACCAGAAGCCTTACGACCAGACATCCTACACCACGCTCACGAGGATTTCCAGAGTGGCCATCAAGGCATCACCAGGACATATGAGCGTCTGCGTTCAGAGTTATTCTGGACCGGGATGTTCCAAGACGTTGAAATGTTTGTCAAAGAATGTACGGATTGCGCGTCCGCTAAGGAGCGACCACCGAATCCAGGACCCTCTCCCGGAAATATATTAAACCGACTGGCCCATTCGAAGTAGTGTCCATGGATTTTGTCACACACCTTCCGAAGTCGGAACGTGGGAATATCGTCTTACTTTTGTTTCAAGACATGTTCACGGGTTACGTTATGGGTAAACCCATGAGCAGCACTACCGCTCAAGACTGTGCTGAAGCCTATGAAGAGGTTGTGTTCAGGAACTATGGCGCAAGCTCTGAAATCCGTCATGACAAAGATCCCAGGTTCATGAGTCGGGTGTTCCGTCGTTTCAGTGAGATGATGGGTATCCAACAGAAAGCAACGCTCGCGTATCGCCCTCAAGTCCATGGCCAGCAGGAACGGTCGGGTCAGACAATTATGCACAGTATCAGAGCGTATGTCGTAGAGCCTGACGACTGGGACGACCATGCAGAGAAGCTCATGCATGCTATAAATACCTCCTTCGATGCGACTAGATTGGATAAGCCGTTCTACCTGCTACACGGGTTAGATTGTCGGAGTACTATAGCAGCTATGCTGGGCCCCAAACCGACGGACGTCGCAGAGCGTACCGCGTACGAATGGCGTCGAAAATTGCGACGAGACTACATCTATGCCCACGCCTGTGCGGAGGGGCTCCAGAAGAGAGCCAAGCGTACGCGATCCGCGGTTCAGACTCAGAAGTAAAAGGTGCTGTCGGATCTTCTCAAGCCTGGTTTCGAAGTAGGTGATTCGGTCTGGCTGTATATTCCGAAGGTTCTGCGAGGTCTGAGCAGTAAATTGGCCCACTTGTGGCACGGACCATTCAGGATTGAGCAGGTCCGGGACGACCAAGGCGAAATTGAAGGTTCAAGGCACAGGCTATCGTGTAGAACCATGGGTCCGCATTAGTCGTCTGAAACCACCCGCCTTGTTTCCGAAACGGCCGTCTTTAAGGATTGACCTTTCAGAGGAGAATGATTTCGATGCGGCCTTATTGCTGGAAGATAGTTGAGAACCTGATTCGGTGCATCTGGAGAACGAAGTGGAAGAAATTGTGGATTTAAGATGGACCAAGCGCACCCGAAATGCGAAACGTATCCGCGAATATCTCATTAAGTGGCAGGGATACGACGAACTTCAGTGGTTGCCCGTCTACCAATTAAACTGTGACTCCCTTCTATATAAGTTCAACCAGTCAGCACGTGCGAAAGCTCGTTTCGCAGCCATGCAGTCTGGAAACGATGACTACGCGGAGCTATAGGCTCCGATCCTGAGAAGTTGAGTCTGGTTCCAACCATTATGTGCCTCGTTTCAGAGAAGGCGTGTGTTATTATAGTGACTGATTGGTCGCGCGCGGATACCTGGCTAAGGCAATGCGGCTCCGGA